TTCCCTTCCCCCACCTTTTTTTTTTCCCTTTTCAGGAAATCGGGTCAGGCTGTGGTAATAAACAAGCAAACAAGCGAGGTGAGGGCTAAGCTGGATCCGCTCTCGTGTAAACCCGCCTTTTCACGCCGAAAAGGCGGGTTTAAGGGACTTCGAGGACAGCGTTTGCCCCCCAACAAAAATCTCCCTGCCGCTTAGAAAAATAGGTGGGGAATGGATTCCTGGCTTAATGGTGTCCATTTCCCGATACCTCGTCTTCTGTATTTTGTCCAAACCGTGAGAGATTTGGGAATTATTTATTAAATTCCACTGATAATTACTATTCTGTTTAACAGAAGTTGGCAAGACTGCTTATCGCGCTCATCGGGGCAACGTTTCTGTGAAATCCAGCACCTTTTTAAACGAGGTGGCCGGGCAAGGAGCGAGGGCAGACAGCTCGTGCTCTCTGGGTCCGTTTGCTGGAGGGTCTGCGAGGGCTTTTCCCTTCTCCTCTTCCCCTTGCTCTGATTACGAAATTTTAACAGGAATAGGTAAAGCCTCGAAAGCGAGCGCTTGGATTGCTAACGTACAGGAACAGCGCGCATAACCTGGTTTTAAACTTTGGCATACCCACCTTCCTCGCCCCTTATTTCCATGATCTACCTTCCCGTTTTAATAAAAAGTGCTCACAGTTAATGGCTGCTGTTGACCGCTAGATTCCCTGCCTGAGGAATGTACAAATCTATGCTAAATTAAACTGGTCTGCGTAATGTAGGCGAATCCTGGTATAGTTAGAGAAATCATAGTTGTATCATTAAGCCGTTAAAAAAAAACCCCGACAACAGAAAACTAATTCTGTGGCTGCCGGCTCTCAAAACTGATCGCTGTTGTATGAAGCGGTGCGTTTTTGATGATCTTGAGTCCGCTTCCCAGATGTGTTGGTTACTTTGTGTTTTTTGGCAGCCTTTTAAATGGCTTCTGAGTTGCCTCCCCAGAACAACGTTCCTGTGTGGTCTCCAGAGACTTGCGAGTGAGAGTGTTTCCGTGTTGGCAGACTTAGCTTCAGCCCATTAATGCATCAGAAAGCTGTGGCAAAATCTGTTATAAATAGTCCATAGTCAGGCTATTCCCTTTGTGTTACTGATGTACTCCAGCTGACAGTCATGGTCACTTTGTACAAGCGAATTTAATCATTAAATCGTATTGGTTTTTCCGTTTGATAAGACTTGAATGAGGTTTGAATTGGTAGACAGGGTGGTCTTAGCGGAGAACTGGCAGATTGTCATTTTTTTTAACCTCTAGTTAATGTTCACATGTTTTTTGTTCAAGTTCATTTAGCCTCTGTATTCATGGAGACTTACCAGCAGTTTTAACAGCTTATTAGAGTGACTTGCTCCCCTCACAAAACTTGCAGAGGTATATTAGCCTGTCTGATGTGTCTTTTGCTGCCATTGTGGTTCTTCTCTCTTTATATTTTTGTCTTCCTTTTCCTTTGTTTCAGGTTTTTATTACCTTTCTGAAAAGATGGGAAATGCAGAAAGCAACACCTATCAGAATCACCTTTCCAGATTTCTTCCTGAGGAGCAGAGTGACATTGATCGAATGTTTGATACCTTATCAGGATCGAGTGGCGCAGCAGGAGCGAAAAATGGAAAAGCTATGAAAAAAACTGTGACTCTGGCAGCACTACAGGCAAGAAAAACTATCATATCCGCAGTGTAGAGTATAGAACGTAATTCCAAAAAGGGGTCAGAGATGTGTCAATAGTTGCTTTTAAGTGTTGTTTGTTTCAGTTGAACAGTTAATGTTTTGGCAGGATGGATATCTAATATTTTCTTACAGTTTAAGGTAAATGATGACTATTGAGTCTGAATTAATATGTTTCTTAAATTGTGTGATTGGCTCCATCCACAGCTTTCCCAATTCCAGAGTAACTTGGGAGGTATGAAAATGTTTTTACAGAAACTAGAAAAATAGGAGAATGGTCTTCCCCTGCGAAGTCCGTAGCGTGTGCTTATTCATGGATTATCTTGCAAAGATGTCACAAATTCAGTTTGTATTTGGTTATATCTTTCTCAGTTGCATCCCTGTCTCTAATTTTTTCACTTGCCTCAAAAGGAGAGTTTAATTTTGCTTGATTAAGTGGCAGCTCTCTGTTTTAGTTAATTAACATATATTATGCTCTCTGATTAACTTTGCATTCATTTTCTAATCAAGAAAAAAGACGAAAATGATTCGTTGTGATGTGTGATATCTTCAGTTAGACAGGAATCAAAATGGCCAAATGAATGCAGTATTAAAAGTGCATTTTTATGTACACTACACAATTAATAGAATCAGTTAAAATAAAACTCCATGAAAGAGGCAGGATGTTTTAAAGTATTGAGTAATGCGTTTGCATACAGACAAGCATTAGCCTTGCTCCAGCCTGGCTTTTTATGAGCTGTCACCGGTTTGGAAACAGTGTTGCTGCTGCCCAGCCTTTCAATCCTAATACGTCTGAAAATGTGGCCCTTTATTCAGCTGGGACCTGGAAGAATTTCAGTTTCTAGCTTTACCCCTAGTTTGATGTGACGCTTGAACCTTTTTCTTTTTACTTCCTGCCTTTTTGCTTTGCCTACTTAATCTAAAATCTTTTAAAAGACTATCTGTATGGGCCTAATTCCTTAGTATAGGGACTGTTGCAGTGACACACCTGCGTAGTGTGCATCTGTGCACATGCCTGAGCTAGATGGATATGTGATGGATTTAATCTAGCAACAATCTGATGACACTGACAGGGCACCGTCCCCAAGCTACTGTACTCTGCTTAGGCTCAGCACTTTGCTAGAAGGAAGCTGCCTGGCTCCCGGACCGGAGCGCAGGTGGCATTGCATACTTTGGATAGCAGGTAGAGCAGGAATCTCTAGGTACTTACTCCCTTGAAGCTGTTTGAGACAAGGATTTTAAAATGTCAGATGGGTGAGTTTGTTAGATGTTTATTAAAGCTTCCCTTTTTGCTGTCCTCCTTCCCTCCCCCCACCAAATCTACTCTCTGAAATAGCTCTAAGCATAACAGAACAGTGCAATAAAGTTAGCGGTGGGTGGGAAAAAGTAGGGGAGTAGGTAGGTAATACTGCAGAGTGAAGGAAAAAGCCGTTAATGTAGTGTGTATAATGAATTTCCCTGCTGCTTGTGTCACTTCAGGCTCATGTAGCACTTTTAGAAAGCCTCCTGAAGACAGCTGTACCCCCTGTGACAGTCCCTCTCTCAGTATAAAGCACTCTAACGTCTATTGCTGTGGCTGCCAGTTCTACTCCTACTGAAATCAATGGGGGTTTTACCATTGACGTCAACAGAAGCAGGCTAGAGGTGGGCATATTGGATCACACCCTATATGCACAGCAATAACATCAAATAGGAATAGCCCTGGTGGCTTTGACAGAAGTGGTATTGAGCCAGAAATGGGTTGGTAATAGCAACTCCATTGAATAGATCTGGAGTGCTATTACGCAGGTGGAGCTCCATTGATTTCAGTGCAGTCCCCATCGGGCTACACCTCTGCATATAGGAGTGAGGTCAGGTATTTAGCATGTAATGCACAGTCCTTTGTACAGTGAAGACACTGTAAAATCATATCGTAGTGTATGGACGTATTTTGTATGATTTATTTTTAAACCTTGTAATTGTCTTGAATGCTGTGAAAGTTTCGTGAATAAAGAGTCAAATCTTTCCCGCAGTGTTGTGATAGATGATGTTGTGTACAAGTTAGAATGCAATTCAAAGGGCCAGTCATGCAACTTGGATGAATAAACTTTGATTTCAACTATCTTTACATCAGGGGTGCCTTATATAAGTCAGGTGATCTAAATTTAGTTTGATGCTTGAATTGGATGTTGCTATGCAGTGGGAAGGTTTTCAGAATTGCTTCTACATGTGCATTCCGGTTAAACACCTTGCCTGCATTTTCGTGAGGCCAAAACTGAGACATGCAAAAGCTGTACTTTCCCTTTGTTTTTAATTATCTGTGATCTCCACTACCAAAAGCAGTTGCTATTAGCATAACATAATTTTAAATTTTAGACTGCCAGAGTTGTATAACTTTGCAACAAAGCTTTACAGCTTTCTTTTTAAAGTCTATGGCATTTTTAGAATAACTGTACCAATTTAAATCACTAAATTGCTTTGAAAAGCAGATACTGTAAATATTTGAGTTTTTTCTCTTGGAAAACCTGTCCTTTAACAAAAGTTTGTTTCTGTTAGTAGATATTTGGTGCTGAAATACTTCATTTATAAGCAGTATACCTCTGCACAGATTAGCTGGAATATACTAGCTATTCTTCATTTTTAAAATATGTTCCTTATGCTCTTTTTCTGCTGGTAGGCCTATATGCGGGAACCGTTACCAGAACAAATGACTGTTCGGTTGTACAACGGGATGAAAAGTGTTGACCTGACTGGGAAGTCATCTGGACCAAGTGAACAGATTGCTAAGGAGCAGTTTGTAATTTTTATGTCAAACCTCTTGAAAGGGAATGCAGATGAGAAGATTACCATAATAATGAGAATGATCTCCAAGACAGAAGGGCCTGTGAAGGGCAAACAAATCCAAGAGGTAAAGAGAGGGTTAAATGTGGTATGGTGAAAGAGGGCTATAAGGGAGCAGAGACTGTGGGCTGTTAATTGTTCGTTTGAAGGTGATCCTTAGACCATGAGATTCAGAATAGGGATTTCTGGCTTTTTTTTTTTTCTCCACATCTCTGCCACTGACTTGCTGATCTTGGACAGTGTAAGCAAATCAGGATATATAGGAAGACCATTTTCAAGCATTTTCCATGCCAACCTGCCTACTTTGAGAATCAGGAGCTGGATTTTGGAGACCCCACTGACTGCTTCATCTGAGGATTCATCTGAAAGGTGCAGAGAATGACCAGGCTTGAGAGCTAGCAAAGGTTAGGTTTTAACTGGCACATGCTTCCTGGAACCGAGACAGAACGCTTCCCAGAGCGATTGTGGGGCACTGTGACTCCACGCAGGAGCGCAGCCTGAATTGAAGGGGCACATTCTGACCCCTTATCTGCGTCTCAGCTTATCCAAATATCAGAGCTATTTAACACTTTAACAGCTGTCCAACTTGAATGCAGACCTTTGCTCACCTCCCCAGTCTTCCGGCTGGGGTATCCCTGGTGGTAATATGGTCATATAGGCACAGGCTAGGCATGTGAATCAAACATGTAGATTGCAAGGTGGGGGAGTGGGGTCCCACAAAACACTAATTCACTGCTGGCTCCTAGCACTGCGCAATTTGCCCCTCACCCACTACTGTATTTTACAGAGATGCTTTGTAAAGTAACATTTGCAAAATGTCTTGTAAAAGGATGTTTTTCAAAATCTATGACACTGAGATAGCACTTGAGTTATTTCTGACTTCATGAGACGATGTTTCTGCCACTGGGATTACGATTACTGGGTCCTTTGAAGCTCTTGGCAATTTCTTTGAAAAAGTGCCATAATGGTAATGTTTTAACCTTTTAAGTTCACAGAGGATCTGATCATGTCTCTAGTCCATGTACTGAGCTTCAGGAAGGAACTGCAAGGTTGGAATTTGGAGAATACTAGAGATGCTGCAAGTGGAGTGAAGGCTCTGGCTTCTCAGCTGTTATCAGAATTGAAGCTCGCAGGTAAGCAGTGCTGGTGTAGTATATCCCAGAATGGTACAGAGCTTGTGGGATCCCTGATCTCACAATGATTATTGGGTCATATCTGCCTTGAATTTAAATGGAGAGATCAATATTTAAAACCGAGTGGTCTGAGAGTGACTTAGGAATTTGGTTATTTTACCTTCCCAGGTTCCTTCCCTAAATTCTTTTGTTTTGAAGTCTCAGTTTAACTAAACGGGCATGCAAAGCTCTTTGTTATGGAACACGTGTGTTTTACAAATACCTGACTTGCAGGTGACTTGTATTTTGATGCATGTGCATATATTTATGATTGTATGTGCTTTTGCAGAGCCCAGGATTAACTTTGCACTATTGTGATAATAGATTTCACTATCTTAAAAAGAACATCTCATATGATTAAGAGTTCATGTTTCTTAGTCATGTCAGGCCAACCAATGGATAGTGCTTATGCCAGTGCCAGCTAATTAATGTTCCCATGTGTCATCTTATTTAGATGGGAAGAACCCTGTGGGTCCTCAGCTGATGGAGACCACTTTTGATCAAAGTGTCATTGAGGACTGGGTGTACCGAGTTCCACAGATCTCAACTTTCCTCAATGTTGTTATCAGGCAAGGCTTCCGTGTCTTGTATTCTCTCCCGGACCAAGCCAAAGACGTAGTCAACTTGGTTCCAGCCTGCAAAGGCATTAGAGGAAGAGGACTTGTCAGTCTCTTTGACATCCCATCCATCATATACATCAACTCCCATCTGCCTGCAGAGCTACAGCACAAGTGGCAGCTTTTATTTTCTTCTAGAGTTCATGGAGAAAGCTTTTCACAGTTATGTGGGCATATTGTGAACAAAGGTCCCTGCATAGTAATCTTAAAGGACTTGGATGGTTATATCTTTGGTGGATTTGCATCTCACTCCTGGGAGGTGAAACCGCAGTTTCAAGGTAAGACTCGATTTCCTTTTTTTGCTAATGTCTCATGGCTTTGATGAACATTGTTTCTTCTGTACAGCTGCAACAATCCTGTCCACTTAATGGATACTGTGATTTTGCTTCTATAACATGAAACACATTTCCTGTGCTTTAGGAGTATTTTTTTAAGGCAAAAAATAACATTCATTTTGGAAGCATGTAAAATACATGCCAAGTTATTATTTCCTTGTACCGAGTCAGTTATTTGATAAGAATGTTATAATTACAGACCTTAATGATCATGGAACAAGTTCTTTTTTAGTGAAACCCATCAACCCCTGGAATTACCTAGGTGCAAATGAAGGAAATACAGCATAGCAAATGAATTAGTGTTAAAGTAACATGTCCAGCAGATGGCAATCTTCTCTCTCAGAACAACTGAACCAAACACGGGGCTAAGCCTCCTGGACTCTCCTACTCTGTCTGTCTTTGTTTCCTTTTTAAATTTCTGTAGCAAAAGGTTCCTTTGGACAAACTGAACTTTTTGTTTCCTTGAAAACTTACAGGAGAGGACTTGTTTATTTAACTCTTTGGAAAGAAGTCTTGTGACAGTTTTCAGAAAAAAAATGGATGGAATCTGTCCTACTGAGAAAGCTCACTTTTGATAAATAAAGACTCATCAATTCCTACACGTCATCAATATTTGATGATTATCACTTCATCCAGTTAGTATAATATTTCATTATGTTGACTGGACAACATTTTCTTTTTATTTTTTCCTGATAGAATAACATGTAGTGTACAGAGCAATCGTGCCGCATGCCCCTCTGAATACAAAACCGGGCATAATGAAAATTTTTCTCTAAATCATTGAGCCCAAACTGATCTGTATATCTATATAGTCAGAATGAAGTCTAGACTCATATTGTTTAGTATGGGTCTAGCAGTCGGCCAGTTTTAGTGATACAATGCAAGCCTGTGACAGGTTTATTCTTACACAGAAATGTAATGTAATGTACTAGTCATGCCTCTGACTCTGCCCTTGATCACAGCCATATAATCCCTCTGATTTCTGTGACCCTGCACAGAGTTACCTGAGAGTAAACAATGGGTCTAGATCTTGATTAGACATCAGGACTGACTTTCAGAGATTGCAGCTTCTGCCTTTGATTTAATCAGCTACACTTCTTCAAGGTTTTTCTTTTTTTTCCCTGTCCTGTTTGTAGGCCAGTTACTGCTTGGCCAATTGTCTGACCTCAGACTCTTTTTCTGTTTGCAGGTGACAACAGATGCTTTCTGTTTTCTGTTTTTCCCTCTCTTGCTGTGTACACATGCACTGGATACAATGACCACTACATGTATTTGAATCATGGGCAACAAACAATGCCAAATGGACTTGTAAGTACTAAAAAATGACAATTTGGAAATCGGAGTCGTGGCTGATATTTGAAAGTGTCCCATGTTTTTACTTCTGCTGTTTTGAGCAGATTTATTTCACTTGTTATTCTCAGGGAAAATGTTCATCCTTTCTTTGTGCTATTTGTGCCACTCTTTTACTAGGATAATTTTTTTTTCCCCTTAAAGCATCTTCAGTGAGCTTAAGATGTGAACTAAGAATGGTTATGGAGAACTTACAGTGCTGGCTTTTATTTTCCTTTACAGTTGATATTTATACTGAAATACTAATTCAGTTGAGAGAGAATTAATTTGTATCTGACCCAAGTAGCTGGGCTCGGTGCAGTGCAAATTAAGTTATGTCCCAGTTAAGATTCTGGGAACAAATTTTTCTCCCAAGCTTGATTATCATTCAAGCCCTTGAAGCAGTCCTCCCTTCCTGTTGTCCAGAAGAACTGGCCATAGATATCCACATCCTTTAAACAGGGTGAGCTAGCTGATCTGTATAACTGAAGACCCATCCATCAGCTGTTCTCACTACCACTCTGAGTGCCTTCTAAAACATGGAAGACAGAGAAAGCCCAACACAGTGTACAGGAGTTGTATGTAGGCAGCTGCTGTTGTGTGATTTCACTGGCAGAAGTTCCCCTTCCTGAAATCCACAAATGAGCTCTCCAGATGCAGAGGACTTCCTGTGCAACCACAGCATGCCACCTATTTTGAACAATGTTTACAGTTTTGTGGGATTGTGTGCTCATAACTCCAGGACTTGCAGCATAAATTTGCTCTTAAAGTAAAGTACGTCAAACTACCTTATCCTTTAATGTGGATACTTTTTCTAAACAAAAGAGAGGTAGCTAAACCCAGTCACTCCATCTCATTTAAAATGGGACTGTTAGTCAATACGCAAAAGCCAGTGAGCTAAATTTCTGGAACAAGATACAGCTGAAGTGCTTGCAAATACTGATATCCTGTAAAGCATAGAAGAGGCACAATATCACACAGGTAAGTTCTTGTTTGTCTTCAGGAATACTTGTTTTGAGTACAGAAGCCTAGGTTTACTCAGAATATCCTTCTTCACCTACCTGTAGGTGTGTGCCATAAGTAGCGAAACTAGCAATTCGTACTTTAGATTTCATAACTCGCCCGTTGTGTTTTACATGTGTAGCAAGTATTTCATGTGCTGCTCTGATTCACAGGGTATGGGTGGACAACATGATTACTTTGGACTCTGGATAGACAGCGACTATGGGAAAGGACACAGTAAAGCAAAACCTCGATGCACCACCTATAACAGTCCCCAGCTGTCAGCTAAAGAGAATTTTACACTGGATGCTATGGAAGTTTGGGCAGTGGGAGACCTCCCAGAAAATGCAGTGGTAGGTGGCAGAAATTCAAACCTGTGAAATTGTTTCCTAATTGGAATGGGAGCTGTGAATAAAAAAAAAAACCTCACAACTGCAATTTTCTCAGTAAACACTGGCTTATCTGTTGTAATGAATATATATAAATATATATATAATCATAATGATATATATAATTCATTATATATATACACATACATACATACATACACATACATATGCATACATACATACATATATATAAATATAAATTTATATATATATATAAATGGCCCTGTGGTTCCATATATTTTGCAGCAAGTAAATGGCAAAACAGTAGTGGAATTATTGAGGTTGCCAATACAAAAGAACATCGGGAACCATGAGATGACGGTGTCAAAAGAGCAACGCTATTCTGAATTTCAGAAGGACTTTCTGAAATTGAGGAATGGTCTCTGAGGGGAACCTCCTTGGAGGAGTTCAGTAAAGCCCAGTATATGTAAAACTGAAAGTATTAGAAACTAGCAAGTAAAGCCTAACCCATAGATCAGGAAGAGAACTGAGTGACCCAGAAGATTTCTTTGCTAGTAACTTTTACAGTAGATTATCTGTTTGTAATCCTTGCAGCTCCAATTCTAGCACTTTTTTTATATGACAGAGGACTAATAAAAACACAAGAGCTGCAGTTAAACAGCTAATACTCTATACAGAACAGGCACGTACAAAATTTCTGGGAAGCATTGTTTCCATAAGGAAGCACAGAGAGAGCTTTGTTGCTTAAATTGTGTGTGAATAGATTTATGCTCCTCTGCGTGTATCTGTTTTTTTTCCTGGGAATGAGTAGGAGACCTCTTTGCAATCTCCTCTGTCTCTGTAATTTATTCTCTTATTGAACTATCTGCTCTGCACAGGTGTCTTTTTTTTCTTTTCATTTTAAATTAATGTGTTCTGTCTATTCAGTGGACACATAGCTGTAAATAGAAACAGAACTAATTGTTTACAAAAAAAGTTGAACTGTACTTGAATCTCTTCTTCAGAAAAAGTTCACATCTGTACTTGAAACTGGGGTCAGATTAAACAGTGTGTTCCGGCTGTTTTTTTAACCTGAAAAAACACGAAATAGTCCACTGCCCCCTTAGGAAGATTTTAGGACTGTCTTCTGTTACTGAAGCAGTAAAATCCCTTGATGTATCCCTGTAGATCTTAAATACCTTTTTTGGGAAGTATATATGGTTCATAATGATGAGCTTGCAAAAACCATGTTCCTTGTGGACTTTTGGGTATGACTGTTGCGTGTGACCTGCTGTTAATTCATTTGTAGTGACATTTAAACTGAATAGATTTTATTGTATTTAATTTTCTTATTTTATTTTTTAAGATAAAAGGTAAGAAGAGTATCCTGGATGTAGATCCTGAGGCTCAGGCGTTATTAGAAATGACTGGAAAAAGTCGGCAGAGCGATGGTTTACGAGAACCCCTTGGAGATGATGATGATGATAACTAAAGGAAGCGCAGTAACTTGAAAAACTTTTTTTAATCATGAATGTTAATGTTCTGTGAACAGGATATTTTTCCTCATATTTTTCTCACATTTGCTTAGGTATCTGGGACTAAGCTTAAGTCTAGGACTTAGGTAATATTTAGGCCTGAGAAAATATCCTGCCTGAAGGGTTTTGTTTGAGGAGAACAGAAACATTAAATAGGTAGGTAGTCGTCAGACATCTGTAAGTTCTAGCTGAATATGAATTTGCTCACGTTCCTGATAGATCCTATCTGCATACACAATTAAAAACAAGGAACAAATTATTGACAAAATTACTTGTTGACCTAGCACATTGGTATATATTAATATAAAGACTGGTCAAGACATTGATCAAGCTTCTGTCTGATACCTCAGCTGAAAGTGTTTATGTGCATGCGATGGAATTTGTCAGTGAAGCTTGCAAATTGTTATTATGTCTTACTTTTGTACATATAGAACAGTCCAAATGCTATAAAGGAGGCTATTAATTTGCATTGCTCTAGTTAAAGCTGTAAATTTCAGATTTTCTGGCTTCAATAAGGTGATACCATAAGGGCTGTGAGAAGTACAGAATGCTAAATGTACAGCATTGACTTACTTATATAATAATACACTACACTTCCATGCATTTCACTTAATATTTTTCTGCAGAAAGCAGCCTATTGCCTTTTAAACTTAGTAGAACAGAGCTCTTGGAGTCATTCAGTCAGTTTTAGCCTAAGAACTGGCCAAATCTGTGATCCTTGAAGAAACATACTCCAGCAGAAATTCCTAGGGAAGATAACCTTATTTAGTAGTCTCACCTGAGACTGGAGTAAAAGATCAGGCTGCAAAAAAGGAATAGGTAGGAAACACTTGTAGTTAGTTGGGAATAATATCTGCAGATAGCTTGAAAAAAATCCAGGGTTGTGTCTTTATTTAACTTGTTTAAAGAACATTGCTGTAAACTTTATTGCCACAGAATTAATGATCACTGTGTTATGAAAAAAATGGCTGAAGTCTGAACATTTACTAGTGGGTTGGGATTTTTTTGTCCCTTTTCTGTTATTGACTGTTTACCAGTCAAGGCCAAGTTTTGTAAAGTGTCTTAAACTCAGGACTTTTCCTACTTGAACCCATTCCCATCTATCACTAATTATTGGTTTGACATTTCTAATTCTCTGTGATTAACTTGTCAAAAAAACTCCTTGTTTCTGCCAGGGGTTGTCATTTCTAACTCAGCAAATTGTGTTTGGACTTGGAGGGGAAAAAAAAAAGAAAACCCCACAGTGTTTATTCATGTTACTAGTATATAGGACTGTCAGTCTTTCTGCTCCTAAGGAAAAGGATTGTATCAAATCCTCTTTTGTACTAGAGTGAGTTTGTCATAGAAAAGGTCTGAATTTCCATGAAGCTTAGTGCAAAAAAAAAGTACTGAAACAGTGTATACAGTCATTGTGATTCCTGATCATGGGGCTCTCATTCCGAATGCTATCCTACAGCGCTTTCTTATATGCATGCCTTTTTTCCCCTCTGATGCTTTTTTCATAGGGAGCTGGATTTGAACGTTTTAAATAACCTGCATTTGTGCCTTAATTTAGACTCCACTCACTTATTTTACAATATGAATTTACCCTTGAAAGGAGATCATGAAGAAAACACTACAGCCACAGATCCTAGAAACCAACCGTGCATTTTATATATTATCCGATCTAATAATTGGGGCATTTTAGTAATGTATTCCAGTACAGAGTATGCTGTGAAAGGCCCGAGCCAATCTCCTTGTATGTTGTGTCTATTTAGATAAACCAGATAGATAGTTTGCAAAGTTTGTAACATGTAGGAAAATGTAAGCATTAAAACAATTACTTACACTGAACCTCGTATGTAATTATTTTCTCCTGTGTATATTTTTATAAGAATTTTAAATGATATACAATAGAAACTGCTATAGAAAACAAATAAGTGCATGATGCTTTCTGTGAGTGGAATTACATTGGCTTTTTTTTTCTAATGCTGTTTCCTCAAGCTCCCACCATAAGTCTCGAAAGTATTCGTCACTTACGTGCCGAACAACCTTCTTAAACGCTGCTGAAGTGGGGTGGCATATAGAAATGGGACATTGCTGAATTTCTGCAGTTGCCCATTAAGAAAACTGCTAGACTTCTCCTTTCTCCCGTAATGAAGAGACTTTTCCTTGAGGACTGAAACCATTCTCAAGGATTTGTTTAATATTGAGCGGAAACCATTGCCGACTGTTTCTGGGAAGGGTGAACTGCAAAAAGCTGCTCTTCACCCAAAAAATATTTTAGTTGCTGATTTCTCTGTCTCAAAATAAGTATCAGTCTGGTGTTTTCTTTTCAGGTATCAGTCCAAAATGTAATCCTGTTTAAATATCATCTCTTGAAAACCAGCCTAGTATTTTGACATCTGTAACTGTTTTATGATAAGTTTATGTTAGACACTTATTTTCAAATTAAGGTGAAGGTGATAAGTTGGGGCAAGAAGAAGAAAACTGACAATGTGGTGCTTTTAACAAATGTATCTGGGAAGCAATATTTATGGGGAAACTACTCATCTAGCCAGCTCGTGGGTTTATTCAAGTTTGTTCTTTAGATGTAAGAGTGCCTTGAGAGGTACTCAACATTTTTTTGATGGACCTCATGATTAAGTGATCTATGCTTATGCTATGTTCTTGCATAGAAAGATGTCCAGAAAGTGTTTGTCAGTAATGGACTTAGCAACAATCTAACATCTCTCAGTCAATTCTAGGCAGCTGCTCTTCCAATTGTAAAGCTCAGCATCCCTCTGCTATGTACGTGAGTCATCTTCACTCTAATGCACTTGTGACAGAGTCCTCTCTCCATTAAATCCCTCCCACCACATCAACCATCCACTCTGCTTCTATTACCCACATGGGTGCTGCAGCTCACGACACAGGGCTCAGCTACAGCCGACAGCTGAGGGCTAGCGTTTTTGCTCTCTACTCTTCGTTTGACATGCCCCCCAGTTTGCCTAAGTCTTGCTAAATTAAGGCTAGTCATCCAGGAATCTAGAAACACTGTAGACTGCCCACAGGAAAAAAACTGCTAATAAAGGCAGGTCTTTTACATTCTTATTTAAAAGGCAAGAAAGGCTGTAAATCAAGAGTCTCACTCAAATAATTCTCTGCAAAATTTTGAAACAGATTTTATTAATAAAAATCATTGCAATTTAAATAAATAACATTTTAATTTATGCACAATTGGCTTTTTATGTACAGGTATGAAACTACATTGTTTTATCTGGGGCTATCACGCCATTCTTGACATATAGATCAGTGTGTTATAAAAATATACACAATCTTGGTTTAAACAGGAGCAGCTCCTGAGGTCCCTGCAGACAGCTCAAACAGTTTACGTGGAGCACGTAACAGAAACAGGCTCTGGATTAGGAAAGACTGTCGGTACAGATTCACCTGAATATCTTCAGAAAGGACGTGCATCATCAGAAAATGATGCATTTCAGTTAGCCAGCATCACAGCTCCGTTCCAAGTATATCCCTAGAGGAAGCCTGCATCTGTTGCACTCAGTTGTGCTGTCCCTTTGCATGCTTCGGTCGGCAGCAGCGCTTTTCACAAAGTTTGACGAGCTCAGACACAATGAAAACCGATGAAGCCAGTCCAGTGAGAAACAGCAGGTCTGGCAAAATGAAATAGAGCAGGGTGGGACACGGAGCAGCTGCATTTTGTGCTAGGCAGGAATTCCCAGGTGAGGGGCTTCCTACAGCAGGTATTTGTACTGGTCTAACTAGGTAGCTGCATGACCAGGCTAGACTTTTGCTAGCTGATGAATTAGAGAAGTGACTGTAATCGGCAAGGAATGCACATACAGCCAGTTAGTACGGTCCACCTGATGGGTGATGACTTCTACATTAATCATTTGGGCTCATTGAAGCCTGCCTCTAACAATGTGCCTAATATAGGCACAATACCAGTATAGTATGGTAGAGTTTGCCTAGACCAACTGAGATGGTAAAATATGCATTGCATTTCAACAAAGAAACATTTACCCTGCTTTTTCAAAAGGGAGTGACTATGTAATGATCTTAGATAGCTTGCTTTATGGAAGACAAAGATCACAATACAGAACTTAGGGTAAACTTGGCCTGTCTGCATTTGCGTTCATTTATGTGCAGTAATGCAATTTTTAAAACCTAGACTGGGATAATATCATTACATTTTAACATTTGTGTATAGCTATGTATATAGGTATATGCACTGCTGATTGATTTTCCCCACCAGCGTTCTCTTGGGAACTATCACGTAACAACTAAAGAAAAAAGTATTACTTATTTTGCAACTTACCTAACACTCCTAAATTCTCTGTCTGGAAGATCTTTTGTAATGGAGGGATGTATATAACAGCCAGCTGTCCCAAAAATGACCCAAGCACAGAATACAAGAACATGCGGTTTCGGAAAAAGCCTATCTCAAGTATCAGCTTTGTCTAGAGAGTGGGGGGGAAAAAAAGGAAACGTAATATTTCCCAGTCTCCTCATGGTACTTGAATTTCAAGCTGTTTTTTTGCAGGTAAAATCTTGCTTTTTGGAAAATTGAAGTTACATGAATGCTAACTCAGGCAGAGCTAGACACAGTTGAAAGTGTGGTTACAGTTGAACTATGATGGCTAGTTTTATTTTAAAAGGATGATAAAAATTGTGCTGCTTTAAATGACATTAAAAATTCCCTTCTCAGGCAAAATATTTACATGAGTAATATTTATGTTAGTGTATTGAGACAAAAAATTATTGCTGACAGAGCAATCATTCATCTTACCTGAGAGCGACATGTCAGGGCATTGAAGAGGTCAAAAAACACAAAACATGTAAAAGTCATTGTTGTGGTTCGGGGAGTTATGCCACTTTTTGGATTCTGAAAGCACGTGTGAAAATTCAGGGGTTATTTAAGGGGCTGTTTACAAAACATATGTTAATACAACAGATGAATTAAATATTCCCTTTAAGGATCACAGTCAACTTGAAGTCTAGTAAAGCAAAGGAATAAGTTTAGTTCTAGCTATTACGAGAAGCATTCATTTCTCACTGCTAATTGAGTTTACGATCTTATCAACAGTATTTTAAATTCTTAATGTGGAGTTTGACCAGAGATTCTTACTGATGTCTTATACAAAGGAGTGTGTGCAAAATACAATGTTGTGACAGAGGAATACTTCATATACATCTTAGTTATACGTATTAGCTGTTTTAAAAAGAAAATTTTTCTCCAGAAACCTGGCCTTTCCTATAGCTATCAATTACATAGCTGCAATAGCAGTAATACTGTGTCAAGATTCATGTTCAAACATCACTGTTCTCAGTGTGATCATTAATGAACACTAATTAATCTACAAGGTGTTACTTGCTTATCTTTAGAAATGTAATGTTGATGTGTGGTTCAAAGAAAAATAATGTAAGCAATTTAATTCAGAATATTCTTTAACTGTTACAGTACTAACAGTCTTTACTAACAGTAAATCATTGTGCTTATGTACCTGGTACTTTCCACTTATATGGAAATTTGGAGGTGAAACGTATCTTAAAGCCTTGTAACGATATCAAGGAATAGTTTTGCCATCCTAGATGGGAAGCTCCAAGACAGAGAAGGGATGAAGCAACACAAGAGGGCAGAAGCAGAGCTAGGAGCTGACCCTGGTTTCCTAACGCTGTCCTTACTAGTCCTTCCTCAGTGAACATACTTCAGAAAGTGCCACATGTGCTTCAGAGACTGCCCTTCGCTTCGTTCTCCACCTTGATGAAAGAAAGATATGACTTCAGATTTTCCTCACCTCTTTCCAGAAGACAAAGAGAGTTCCACTGATGATAATTAAAGCTGACATGAAGATTTTCAGGATCAACGATTTGCTGAGTATAGTATCCGTAATACAGCGGGGGGGCTGTTTGATAGTATCCTTATCAACAGGTTCAACTCCCAAACTGTCTCAAATAGAAGCAGAGAACCATGCTTAATTAATGTGGATCGTCCCCAAACAGTACTGCTGATGACAAGGAATGAATTCGGAGGATGAAATCCTTTGACACAAAGTATGAGGGATACCAGTATTGTGGCAGGGCTACATAAGGCCCAAATTTGTCTGGGAGACCTATGATAAAGATCTCTTTGCATAATGAACTGCTAAAATGACATATTAGACTACCATAGTGGATCATATGGATATCCGAGCCCAGAGGGAGAGCTAGCTGTAAGATTATGGTCAACACCCCTTCCAAAATGAAATAATTGTAATTAGCAGTTGAATGAGAGCCTAATGTCTTGTGAGTTTGGGGTACATGTACCCATATGTAACCAGTGCCTCCTTGTCAGTCAGACCAGCAGGGCTACTAGCAGGTAATGCATCCAGGATAATGGACCATTCCTAGTCAAAAAGTGGAATACTTAGGTGATGCCACCCCAGAACAAGAACAACTAAAACCTCAGGACCTGGAGTAACTGCTACTAGAGGAACCAGAAAGGGAAGAGAAGAGCAACTTGTCCTGTCTAATCACCAAACGATTGGGTCTTTGATAAGAAATCATAACAGCTTGTGTTCTTAACCCAAATTCAGATATCTTAGAATCAGTGGTTATATCAAGAATATTTTGCTCATTTGAGTCTTCCATACCTCTGGGCTGGAGGCCCATCCATGATGATGTTAATCCATAAGATCTGCATAGCATTGAGTGGATTTGGTAGATTGAGCACTGTAGACAGAGTAATTAGGCTCAAAGCTGAAATACTCCTGCAAATCACAGAAGAACATTATTCTAGGTAGCCTCACCCAAAAGGTGCTTCCACTGAAATCTAAACAAACAAGAACTTACGTGCTAAGCTGGAACCGCACAAAATTTTTTATG